CACGTGTGAATGATGGTGCGTTTCTGCGGCACTTTGAAAGAAGGTGAGCAAAGGCGATCATGTAGTTAATCAGCGGCGCTCTCTGGCTACACGCCCAGATTAGCCTCCGCAGCTTTGGCTCTTTTATTTCCCAGGCCAAGCAGGATTAACTCCCTTCAGTGTGGATCAATTAGGAACGCTGTATCAAGGCTTCCCATCAACAACGGTGATGGGAAGCAACGAAAACAAAACATGGAAAGAAAAAAGTGGTGTTAAAAGTTTAGTCTGGCTATAAACTTACCCGTCTTGTAAGTAAATCATCATTATTTACACTACAACATATGATACAATATGAATTTTGTGTTTATTGTGTCATAATTTGAGTACATTCTGGCTGTTTTAAAACAATATTTGCCAATGGGACAAGGTCATTTTGATTTAAACCAAACCACAAAAGAAAAATCAACTCAATATTTTGAACGTCCTCCTTTTGCAGCCTCTATATGCTTCCATATGATTCTGGGTACTTGTGGGTGGAATTTTGGACCATTCTTCTTTGCAGAGAAGAATGGGTGCCCCCCCCCCACCCAGAAATTGACTCTTAAAGGGGTTGAAAATGAATGAATGAATCTTCTTTGCTGATCATTTCTCGTTGAGTCAGTTTGATTGGTTCTGGGCATGGACAGCCCATTTTTAAATCCTACTGCAACTTAAAAAATAAAAATAAAATCGGTTCTGGGGACTGAGTTTACCTGACCAGAACACAGACTTTGAGCTGTGTTTACGGTCGTTCACTGAAAAAAATTGACTAGTGCAGTTCACTTGATTTCACTTTTTATCTAACCACACAGTTTGACTTTTTTTTTTTTACACATTCAGGCTGGAGATACTTAAGATAATAATAATATAACAAGTACAATTATTATTTCGAGAAATCTAAACAATTGGAAAAATCATGATCCACAAAATTTTGCTTGAAAGAAGTACATTTTCTCTGATATAATGGCTATTTTCTCCTACTTTTTTGGAGCCACTTTTTGCAGTGTTGTCTTGTTGGAAGATCCAGCTCCAGCGTAACTTCCAATTTGTCTCTGATTCCTGGACGTTGATCTCCAGAATCTGCTGAAATTGAGGAGAAGAAGAACTTTTGCGTACCACTGTGTATCAAGGGACTCAAACTGAATACATAGGGGTGAGTCCGGGTGAATCTCGGCCGCATTAATGGGTGGATTTATCACGTGCTTGCTTGTTTACAAAGTATAACAAAGCAAATAGATCAATGCACAAACAGATGTAGAATGAAACCGTGCTATTGGATTGATAATTACACCCCTGCGTTTCAAACTGTGCTTCTCATTCTTTAACAATAAAATTCATTCTTGTGCTTTGAACAGAAAGAGACCAAAACAAGGAAACCGATGGATGCTGCGTTTGAGGAACGTTTTATAGCTCATTCTTTGCATCTCAAGCTGTGGCTTTTAATAATCACGAAGGTTTTTTTGACCATATAATTACTTTTATTGTGTACGAGTTTGGATATAGTTTCTTCCTAAATTTCTATAAACAAAATGGAGGAGGATTGAAACAACACTGGATCAAGACAACGAGGCCGTGTATGGTAGACTGCTGCCCTGAATAATTTACTTTTTATATTTAATCTATTGAAGCAAATCAATGGGAACAGATTTCAATCATTCAAAAGACAGGTCTATAATTTCACAGTAATCCTTCATGACAAATCGAACAAGGAACACTTAAAACAAGAAAAAAAATGCAACGTTTAACAAAATCTCAAAAAAAAATCTGGTGCATTACTAAAACAGCAATACTTTTACACAACTTTTTTATCAGTTTTTATCAGTTGTTTTAACGTGGCTTTTAAGACTTCTGCTTCTCCAAACCTGGACAAGATGGACGCTGACTCGCCGTGTTGTGACTCCATAACAGAAAATCTCCTCCTGTTGAACGTTCATAATGTCAGAGCCACCTTTCCAGATGACAACGGTATCGGCCCACACTAGCTGATCACTGTTTAGCGCCGCGGACCTGAGTTGTTCATTAGCCCGCCAAAGAATGAGACCGGTCAATCAGAGAAAACTCTATATTGAAGCTATCCATCCCAGCACGAGGCAGTGTGGAGGATCGCAGAAGTAATGACAATTGGTATAGCGTTCATAAATCAGACCAAACGGCTAATGCCCCGCACAAAAGCTCTTAATAAAAGCAATTCATTATTTACTGGAGTGTGGAGGTGCTAAATTAGGCCATATATAATTTAAAGGAGGTAATAAGATGTTATAAACTTGACAAGATGGCGTGTCGCAGATACATGGAGTGGTAATGGAAGTGTCAAGGCTTTTTACTAGCAGCAGCTCACGCATGCTCCCGTTCACACGCCACTGCCGAAAAGTGCTTTGTTTGTGGAGTCTGGATAAAGCCGTGGTCCATCAGGAAATGTCAGAGGCTGATGAATGTCCTCCATGATGCGCACATTTGCAGATGTGGAGCTGGTGTTTTGTGATACTGTGAAAGTTTTGTCTTCTACATTTTAAACATCCTATGGGCGGATACTGAGTGGATAGCTCTCTCGTTTCTCAGCTACAAGATACTGGTTCAAATCCCGGTTGGAACAGGTCCATCTGAGTTGGAGTTTTCATGTTCTCCAAGTGTCTGCGTAGTTTTCCTCCAGGTGCTCCGGTTTCGCCTTCCAGTAAAAACTTGTACATTAGGTCTGAATGTGACGAGTGCGTGAATGGATGGGGTTGGTTGGGGGTTTGATACGACAGTGTGTTCGGAGCAAATGAAACAATATCTCAAAAGCAGCTTTGGGTGACCTTGGTCTATAAAAATGCACTATATGGATAAAGATTACTTCCTTACTTACTCCTGCTATTGGTCTGAGGTAGGGGAGTCGCTCAAGTGGCCCCCAAAAAGGTTTTCAGTTATGTGTTTTGATGGTGGGTCTTCCCTGCTCGTGCCCAGCCCTGAGAGATGCCTGAGAGGCCAACGTGACTTACTGCCCACGATACGAACACAGCTCTGACTCTGGTCATATAGTCTCCGGAAAGCCCTCAGCAAAAGACCCTGGACCCCGAACTCTTGGAGAGACCCATAATCCCTATAGGATCCCCCTTGGAACACAGTCAAACGCCTTCTCTAACTCCACACACGCCTACTCCTGAATCCGGAACTGCTAATATAATGTTATATATATTTAATGCTAATATAATGTTTGTATGTATAATATCTTGGACTGAAGTAATTGTTATAGATTTATGACACAGTCAAAAAAGTTCTTTATTTAATATGATGAAAACTTCACCCTTAAGATCGAAATCATGAATGCAAAAGTAGAAAACGGCTTAAGATGTGAACAGAATATTGTTTCAATTCAACTCACTTTATTCTTGTACAGCCCTGAATTCGCCAACAAAGAACACATTGGTATTGGTCCATAAGGGGCAGAGGCCAGTGTCCATAATGTTGATAAATGGCCAAGAGAAACGTTCAATATCACTGTGTACTACTTTGATTTATAAACCCTTATTCACCCTCATTTCTCCGACAGGTCCTTACGATGTTTTTGAAGTCAAAGGAGCTTTCCCATAAGGTGGGAGAGCACTTCTGGAGCCATTTCTAAAGTAAGATGAAACAAGACTCACTTGAACGTCACTCGTGGATTAGCGCAGCACTCTGCAGCCGTCAGTGTGTGACGTGTCGTGTCAGCGGTTTTCCAGGGAACAGACGTTTACTTCATCACAGAGCAGCAGTGACTAGATCAAAACCGAGGAAAACACTCATTTTTAAGTCACAACATTTGCACAAAATGAATCAAGTACATCCAAGTAATGTGAAAGCTAACAAATGAATTTAACTTAATAGTTTGTTTTAGTCGAGAGTTATCAGGTCTAAACATTGTTATAAGATGTTATAAGTGAGTCTGCGACCGCCTCCCAGGGGCAGGTCAAAGACCGGGTTCAGGGGTCCCATCATCATGCCATGAAACAGACATGGGACAGCAGGTGAATAGCAATGAAGACTACAGCGGGAGTCATAATGAGGACAGATGAAGTAGGAGAGAGGAGAGGATAGTACTCAATGTGGATATGTCTTAAAATTCTTTTAGTTATATTTCTATGTTTTACATGAAATACTCAGAGAGGAGCGTTTTTAGCCTGGCCTTAAATTGTGTCCAGTGTTCCAGGACTTGGTCGTAAATTACTGTGCTTTTAGACAGTCAAGAAACCCCCAGAAGTAAGTAGAGTCCTTCACAGGCAGTGCAGACTGCAGGAGGTGACAGTAGCAGTGATTAAAGATCTCCTAAAGCTCTCTGTTCTGCAGCGTACAGAGAGGAGGCGGCTGTTTCTGCTTCTCTCTGAGCACTGACTGTGTGTGGACGGTGTCTGTGGAAACACAATAATGGCCTGGATCAGTGTCAAACACTAAAGCCTCTGTATACACTGATGCTCCACTCACTCCCAGATGTGTTGGTGTATTAAATCATATGTTTTTGTTGATTCTTCTCTGGCAGATTATGAATGCAAACTCTGGAGGAAACTGAAAGTGATGCGCTGATGAGCACGAGCTGAAAGCCTAGTGCAGAGCTTTGAAGCACTGTTAATATGCAGCAGTGAAGGCTGACAGCCGATCAGCAGAGGCATAGGTGCGTAGTCGAGGGAGGATTGCAGTAGGTGTCAGTAACTGCCATTGGCAATAGGGCTATAATTCAATCAATTAACTGCAACGAATCAATAGTTGATTAGTTGCAATTACAATTTAGTAATTAATTAATTGTTATTTGAGCATTACACTTAAACATCCTGAGAGGTTTTATGATGCCTGTGATTCCATAATGACTACAGAATGAAATGAAAATGTGTTTTAACCAACAACCCAATGCGTAACAGTAATCTCTGCTGTCCTCAGGGGCATTACTTGACACATTTAAACATCAAAAGAATAATCAGCCAACTAATCTAAATAATTGTTAATTACAGCCATAAGCCATAAACTCTGTTAGCTCAGTCCGGACGGCAGAATCCCGCAGTAGTTATGCTACAGGACTGACAAATGAATCCTTCTGCCGGGTCCACACTTGTGCCTGTATGCAGTGTCCTCTTCAGCCTGACGCATGGTGTGGTGACAGAGACTCGCTCGTATCGACTCTGACATAAGTCTTGTTTCCTGCAGATGAGCTGAGGATGTTCGGATGACAGATTGATTGAAGGATCCTCCACCGCTCCATCCATCAGCGCGGCCTGTTTATCCCCGTCCTGCGTCGCTCCCCCATCCATCCCACGTTAGGAGGAGAGAGGAGCACTTAGGCCTGCCCTGACCATCAACCCTCCCTCTGCCTCACACAGACCACACCAGACCACACCAGGCCACACAAGAACCAGAGGTACAGGGATTTATTTTGACCTAATTTGATTCATAACCGACTTTGACTTGACATTGTGTTGAATTCATGTGAAAGGTACGAGCTAGACTTGGCAATAAATATACAGTAATAGATGCTTGAACTGGGTTTTTATCTTAATTTGAGTACAATGAAGCAAAGAAAAGTATTGCGTCTGCCATCAATTGTGCGAGTGGATGCAGTGTCAGACGTGGCCCCTAATTTACGCCGCCTGAAGTTTTCTAGAGAGCATTTGGATGATCCGGGGAAAGTCTTATCAGTTGAAAACAAAATAGAACTTTTTGGTGAAAAATGACTGTGAAGCATGGGGGTGGAAACATCATGCTTTAGGGCTATTATTATGAAACACATTGTCCATGCTTGCAACAAAGGAGCAGCTTTGTAAGAATCATTTCAAGGTCCTGGAGTGACCTAGTCAGTCGCCAGATCTCAATCATCACAGCTCTAGAAGAGATCTGCATGGAGGAATGGGCCAAAATACCAGTTTCATTGCAGTGTGTGAAAACCTTGTGAAGACTTACAGAAAATAGCGCCCCAAAAATTGTGTTTATTTTGTATTGAGATGGACTTTTGTTATTGACTAATTATTTATTTTCCACCGTAATTTTAAAATATTATTATTAAATCATGTGATGTTTTTTTTCTCAATTGTCCTCTTATAGTTGAGGTGTACCATAATTACAATTACAGGCATTTCTCATCTTTAAAGTGGCAGGACTTGCACAATTTGCTGAAAACATTCTGTTTTATCCCAATGTACACGTATGTTTTCTGTTTTGTTTGATTCGCCAATAGTGCAAGCGGGGTTTGTCTTACATTTTGTTCCAGATTTTTCCGTAGAATTGTGTGTTTTTTTTATTATTATTGTAGTTGGAACAGAAAAAAATTCAATTGGGGGAATTTAGTAACCTAATGCCACAAGTTGCCATATCAGGTTCAAAGCTGCAGAGAAGTTCCTTGAATATAATCCATGGATACAAAAGGATTTGAATAAGCGCTGCTAAATACGTCTCTGGGAAAAGTGGCTCCTCTAAAATGTGGCCTGGAGTGTTCAGTGAAGGTGCAGATCATTTCAGAGTCAAATAGGTCAGTGCACCTGCTGTCTGCCTAATGCACTTCACATTAACATACACAACATTAGTCTGCTCCCTCAGTCCATTACCACACAGAGGCTCCTGTCAGCGTCACACCTCGCTTCAGGGGGAACTTTTTATAACAAAGTCAACAAACAAATGGATTTTGGTTCGCTGAGGTAGCTACATTTTTATATTAGAATTACCCTTTCAGCAAGTGAGTGCATCAGGGGATCCGATGAAGGACTAGGACTCAGGGCCATTTAACACTTCAGAAGGAAGAGATTGACTTGAAACAAAGAGTGAAAGAGTCGTAGCAAGAGCTCTGAGCTGAACCAGGTCTTGACCAGGTCTTAACCAGGACTGAAGGAGAACCAGACTGATCAGCAGTGTCCACTCTTCTCCCACATAGATCATAATGATATGACTCTGGCTTTATGTAATGTTTGAGCAGCTTGGGTCAGAGATAGGGATTCCTGGACTCGCAGGGTGCTGTCTTGTTAGCGGTGCTGGGGGGAACTGGCATCTTGGATGGAATGTTATTTTGACACAGAATTCTTTGTTTGCGCTCGTGCTTCAGAGCCTGAATCCTGAGGTCAGACGGAGCCTTCATTCTATACCGGTTTCCTTGAAAGGCAGTGTTCATTAAACATGTGAGAATGAAGAGTAGCTCTTCTGTAATACTGAGAAGTGGATTAGATGCTAAGAGACAAATTCAGTCTGTGCCAACCTTTTGTTAACATGTATAAATAAATATGGTTTGAAATAATAAGTGTATCAGTTGTGGCAAGAACATGCACTGATGGTAAGAGGCGACTACAGGTACACACATCATTTTTAAGATGAATTACTCAAGAAAACAATCATGCAGTTTAATGTATAACCCCAAACATACAGGGGTTATATAATATAAGTCTACAATAGAAATATTTCCATTGGTCCTTCCATATAAAAGTAATGATTTGGTCAGAATACCATACTTTACATTGTGGTAAGAGAAGAATTCATAGTGTCCACTTGACCTCTGCTATTCTTGTGAAGGACACTTCAGACGCTCTGGGAGATTACATAAGAATATTACACAATACACACATTGATCTCTTTCAGAAAGTATTCATAAAGAGGCTGATGTCAACGTGAACTCACAGAGAAGAACGACACATAGAGGTCTGCGCTCAGGGGCCACAGTGGGGCGGCTGTGGCTGTAAAGTGCCTAATTGTTGTTGTGTCCTTAGGCAAGACACTTCACCCACATTGCCTAGAATGAGTCTGGTGTGTGTGTGAATGGCTGGTGGTGGTTGGAGGGGCCCAAAAAGTGCTATATAAAATCCTGCATTAAAAACAAAACTTTGCATGACATATGAAAGACTGAATTCAGATGGAGAGTAGGAAAGCCAAATCCTCCTCGGGTCTAAACCCTGGAGCTGATGGAAGCTGAAGTGTGGAGCCGATAAGATAGGAGTGATGTCCCACTGTTGAGGAGGTGGTTGGGAGGAGGAGGGTTGCCACACGAGCTGAAGATGAGTGCAGAGACACCAGGTATTGTTTAATTGCAGCATATGAAGGCCGATTGCTGATTAGCACAGGTGTGTAAATGTGTGAGCTGAAGAAGACTTGCTGATTGACCAAGGCGCGAGTGTGCGATCTTTTGTCTTCTAATCCTTTTATATTTAAAATGAAATGTGGTTTGTCACCGTTTTTGTTTTCATCAGTTTTAAAGTTACATGTTCTAGTTCCTTCATGTATGTACTGTACGGTCACTGACAGTGGTTATATTATATCTTCCCTTTGGTCAAGAGATCTCCCAGCTGCCCCGGCAACGCCTCAGGATTGTCCTGGATCTGTGCTGGAGGATATATAGATATTATGTCCAGGTTTCTGTTCAGAAAGCTGCCTCTGTTACTGAAACACAGATAGTCGCAAAGGAAATGGACATGAAAACATCTGAACCACCTGCTGCTGTGGATGAAACGTTGTAATTGAACCATAATAATGAAGTGAAGTAAACCATGTTCTGTGGAGTAACGAGTGCTTTTATAACGACCGTCTAATCCAAGCTAAGCCGATTGATTCTTTGGTGCGTCTAAATGGGATTGACCACACTTTGATTTTTAGAAGACCTTTGTGGAAAAGAAAAGTTGGAGCATGTGTCTGTGGCTGTGCTGCAGAGCTGGAACAAAAGAATCACTACCTGCATTCTTTCCTCGACTCTGCAGAATGTGCAGGATTCCTGTGGGATGTGTGGCTGCATACTGTACTCTACTGCATCTACTGCAGTAATAGTTTTCATTTGACTTTGAATTCCTCTCCTCCGACTCTTCTAAACAGCTCAGAAAAATCATCATTTCGATGAAAGCCCAAGGCTGCAGTGGCTCGAACACAACCCTCTGCAGTTTGTGATTCACAACAGACCTCAGTTCATCTGGGTTTCAGCTCACATGGACTGCAGTTTTGTTGACACAATTTGATGTTGTGCTACTAGTTCATTGTGGTGGTACGGTAGCTGAGTGGTTGGCACTCTCACTTCTCAACAAGAAGGTCTTGGGTACGAATCCCAAGGCTTTTCTGAGAGTGACTAAGTAAGTTGGCAGTGAACACATGTGGTTTTGTATTTGTCAGAATGTACAATAGAACCACATCTGTCACTCTCTCTGCACTGACCCACTTTGTCCCAGACCCTCTGCTGCTAACACATACAGATGTAAACATACAACTGTACACTTGCTCCAGAACATACAATGTTTTATACTTGCTTCTTTATTATGCTAAAGGTAGAGACTTAATAGTTGCTTCGTCAATATTATTTAGTATGAAGTAATTGTTAATCTATCTTGTGCTGTGCTCCTCATATACTGTTCTGTAACTGGACCGGTGATGCAACACTGACATTTCCTCCAGCTCTGGTCCTGACCAAGAGCATCAACATCTGGAATGAAACCTGTGTCAAATGCAAAGGACACATTTCTCCACAAGGACAACCAATTTTACTTAATTTATACATCAAGGCACTTATATGAAGCTATGCTAAAGAAAAACTAGTTTAGCTGAACCCTCTCGCTCCTTCTCCACGCTGTTACTTGTGTCTGGACTTCCCATTTACAGCATAGGTCCCTGTGCTCGGAGAGGACGTCTCGTGTTCTTTGTAATAAATCCCACACTGTGTTTACAAACTAAACGCTTCCTTCTCTTGTTTTATTCTGCCAGCCTTTCATATTGCCTCTTAAATTACTTATTTCCCCAAGTGTAGATGCGACTCTGTTTCTTATCTTGGCTTTATACTTCTCTCCTACCAAATCATTTATTTCTTATGTCTCCAAAACCCCCCTGTGGCTCCGCACAAGTCCATTCTCACAGGCAGATGCTGTGAAATTGCCTCTATTTGCTGCGCATTACTTTTTCTTGTAACGCTCTGTACTCACAATCTTTATTCAAATTCCCTCCACATTTGCTGAGGTCGGTGGTGTCTCAGTGTAGGTCTGTTTTCAATGGTTCTGCCCCAAACGTAAACAGCACATGAGCGGTAAAGCTGTGTCATCATGCGTTACGGCGAGTTTCAATGCAAAGTCTACGGTGCCGTCCGCCCATGCGAGGAATTGCATGTACGTCGCGGCATGCACTTTTGTCCGGTGCAACAGACGTCTTGTTGCGGCGCGGCAGAGGTCCATACATGCAGCAACCAATCAGAGAGCAGCAAAGAGGTCACGGTGACACAAGCCGGTCAAAAACAGGAAGACACTCAAACAACCAAAACATGAGCTACACCAGGATTAAACCAAGGCTGACAATGGGGGGCCGGTGCTTGTGAACATATGGGAAAGCCATGTTCCAGCTTCTTCCCTCTGGCAGAAGATATTGCTCTCTGAGATGCAGGACATCTCGTTACGCTAACAGTTTTTATCCACAAGCTGTTATCAGTGTGAACAGAGCACTTGTTTTGAAACTGTTTTAGTCGATCGATTTCACAGTGACACTTGTTTACTGTTTTATTTGTTTTATTTCTGTCTTTTAATGTTGTTTTATGTCTGTATTTGTCTGTGCACACTGGAGACTTTTGCTAATGTATTCCAATGTGGTGTTTTTACTGCAAATGGCAAATAAAACTGAATCTGAATCTGATATAACATCCTACTGTGACTGTAAACAAGTGATGCTAACGCGTTCGCCGATGCGGAAGTACCGGCGTAAGCATCAAAGCCCACCCACCACTTTTTTGTTTTTTTTTGTTTGTTTTTTTGTAATCTTTATTTGAATTGGGACAGTGCACATTCAACATGTGTTTTTTAACATGTAAATGTGCCAGAGTTAGCCATGTAGGCTAATTTTCATCCGTAGTCCCATGGCGGGTTGATATAACTTCACTTCATTCCTGTGTTTTTCAGTACGACAGATTGACTAAACTCATGCAGCTTAATTTTAGTAAGCGCGCGTCCATGCATTGGTGGTGGGAACGCAGATGAACGGAGTAGCATCGGCAAAGAATCAATGATGCTAGAAACACCAGAATGGATTCTTAATTGAAGGAAGTCTTGTTGGACACAGACCTCAGGCTTGGACAGTGCAGGCGACTCTCTTTACATTATTAAATTATCCTTATATTCTCTTTACAAACACCAGGGCGAGATGGGAGAGTTAATTAGACTAAAGTCCTTTTGGAGAAGAACAGCTCGATTTGCCCTCCGGATTGCACTCTTGCCTCTCAACAAGAAGATCCTGGCTTCAAATCCCGGTCGGAACGGGGTCTTTCTGAGTGGAGTTTGCATGTTGTGTGTCTGCGTCGGTATCCTCCGGGTGCTCCGGTTTCCCCTACCACTAAAAAACATGTACAATAGGTCTGGCATGTGCCTTTTGTACTGGCGACCTCGCTCCCATCTCTGTGTGGAGTGAGACAAAAGCCCACGGCAATTGTGAAGCTGGTTTGGAAAATGCGCTGCTATATAGATAAAGATGACTTACTTACATATGTTGATGCTTGTCTATGTTTTTGCTCCTGGAAACCGCTTTGCTTCCGGGGTTCATCGCTGGCAGACGCAACATGATCTTTTTGTGAATTTCTTAGAGTCTGTATTTATCTCTCAGACCTGACCTGAAGTCCTAACAACACACAAAAATACATTCTTACAGTTATGTTCTTACAGTTATATTTTAATAATGTATTTTGTTGGGTCCTTTTTCATAAGTGCCCAGAGTCAGTAACTACCCTGCGGACTCACAGGTTTCTCCTATGGCCTGGTGCTGCTCTGTGTGTTTTTAAGCGGGAATTGATCATGCAACTTTTACTGAAGCTACACCCCGATGGACTTTGCCATACAGTAATAGCTTCAGCCACAATCGATTATCCTAATAGGACGAAGACAAGGGTGTAATTGAAGGTGCAGGCAACATAATACACTGCATACTGTAAGTAATTGCCTGTGGTGGAAGTATCGCATATCAAACCTTTTTCGAATAATTATAGACTTTAAACTCAATAATTGTTGTAAAATGTTGCTGCTAACTTTGCTGAGTTTGTGAAGAGAGCTCTGAGTCTGTGTGAAGCTTCTTTTAAATGATAGCTTCCATCTGTTGTGAGCAATTGCTTATAATATATTTTCTTATCCTTTTGTATTAACTTCTATCTGTGGAATTTGGGGAATCTTTCTGTTATGATCGACAGACTTTTATTAGAGACGTTCTTGAGTCGGGATGGATTCATTACTGTTGAGAAGGTTCATTCTTTCCTTGTTTTACATCTGACGTGTTAGTGCCAAATGAACCAACTCGAACTCAGAGGAGCACAGGGACTGGTCTGGAGGCTGGACTGGAGGCAGCGTTTCTGATTTCTGGAGCTATTATCTGGAACTGTCTTCCTGAAAATGTGAGACAGGCTTCTTCTCTGACAGTTTTCAAATCCAGGTTAAAATCAGCTCTGTTTAACTGTGCTACAACTGAGGGACTTCATCTTTACTCTTTTTCTTTTTTATTTTAATTCAAAACAACAGTCTCCCACCAGTAGCTCGCCAAAGGATTTAGAAATGAACAATTTAAATAATTCACTTCATATTTCAGATTGTATTATCCATTATCATCATTATTTATTATTTTAAATGCACTAGTAACCAATAGGTGATGATAAATATTGGCTGTACCCGAAATCAGGTTTTTTCACAACAATATATCACCACATTTTTCCCAGAGCCGCTTAAAGGAGTAGCTCTCTGCCTTTATTGTCCGGGGAAAGTCTCTGCGTGAAACATTTTGGAGACACCTGCACTACATCAACTGACGGATAAACACACACAAGTAGACGAAGGAACAAAGTACACAAACAAAAATGGTCACACTCCATGGGTGTGTGCGCGGTGTGTGTGCAGTGTGGAGTGTGTGCGGTGTGTGTGTGCAGTGTGTGTGCGGTGTGTGTGCGGCGTGTGTGCGGCGTGTGTGCAGTGTGTGTGCGGTGTGTGTGCGGCGTGTGTGCAGTGTGTGCGGTGTGTGTGTGCGGTGTGTGTGTGCAGTGTGTGTGCAGTGTGTGTGTGCAGTGTGTGTGCGGCGTGTGTGCGGCGTGTGTGCGGTGTGTGTGCGGTGTGTGTGTGCAGTGTGTGTGCGGCGTGTGTGAGGTGTGTGTGCAGTGTGTGTGCGGCGTGTGTGCGGCGTGTGTGCGGCGTGTGTGCGGTGTGGGGTGCGGCATGTGTGCGGTGTGGAGTGTGTGCGGTGTGTGTGCGGTGTGGGGTGCGGCATGTGCGTGCGGTGTGGTGGGCGTGTGTGTGCGGTGTGTGTCGGTGTGAGTGTGTGTGTGTGTGCGGTGTGGAGTGCAGCATGTGTGCGGTGTGGAGTGTGTGCGGTGTGGAGTGTGTGCGGTGTGGAGTGTGTGCGGTGTGGAGTGTGTGCGGGGTGGAGTGTGTGCGGTGTGTGTGTGGTGTGCAGTGTGTGTGCGGTGTGGGGTGTGTGTGCGGTGTGTGTGCGGTGTGGAGTGTGTGCGGTGTGTGTGCGGTGTGGAGTGTGTGCGGTGTGTGTGCAGTGTGTGTGCGGCATGTGTGCGTTGTGGTGTGTGGAGTGTGGCAAATTTGTTGAACCTCACAATCATGACCCAATCTTTTAGTCCGATATCTTTATTCTTTTCAGTGTACTGTGATTACCTTGCCTTGTTCTGCCTTTGCCTTTTTCATACCTGGTCTTAAAAAGCAGTGAAAATACTACAGAGAAGTGCGGTGTTGGCGTTGCCGTGGCAGTGGAGAGCACAATGATGTCTCTTGTCCACAGACCTGAGGGTGCAGAGGTGACTGATGAGTTCTTTCATGTGCAATAACTGTCCACAGACTTAGACATAGACACTCGACGACACATGTTTGGGTAGAAATGGAGGTCGTTTCACTTGTATTTCTCTTTTTAGCTTTGAAACCCTCCGAAAAAGGGCTCTCCCGGCAGATGTTATTCTGTTTTTAAAAACTGCTGTCTGTTGTTGTCAATGTTTTGCGTCATCTTCAAACACTTGTTTCTTTTCCGTTTTCAAAAATACTAACAAACTGCAGCATGGATAGAACTGAGAAATACTGAGATTGAAGTTGGATGCTGTGTTTATTTTATGTGTGGCAGGTGGAATAGTTGATGATCATGGTTGTTGTCTGGAGTCGGCTTCAATCTTTCTTATTCTATAAATCAAATCAAATAAATAATTCTTAACACACACGTAAGGGCTCATAGTTGCATGAAAAGTCAAAAATTACCATCACACTATCGCACCTTCACTTCACTCCCATTCTCTTTTTTTTTTTTTTTTTACACCATGTCATTGTAAGTGCTTTGTAAAAGTGGAAGCTGCATTAGCTTATAGGCCAGGTCCCGAAATGTATGGAATTATTTCTATTCTAGACTTTTTCAATGAATCTTACAACAGATATAGTTTGTAAATGACAAATATTGAATCAATAATGTATCAATCAACTTTTAATTAAGCAACACAAAGCGCCCCCACTGCTCACAACACGTCGGGCATAAATCATTTACATTAAAATCGACATACTGTGAACATAAAAAAATATGATTGAAATCCCACAGAGCATTAAAAACAAAAATTAAGATCACAAAAAATAAGTAATTAAAAACATTAATTCAACTATTTTCAAGATTTAGTTTAAAAGCCCTTAATTGTTTGTGCAAAATCGTCATTGAATCACTTTGTACTGAAAAAAAGTCATTTTGTCTGCATATGTTTGTTTGTGATTCATTTTGCTGATTGTGTAGCTGTACTGTGTCCTGCTCGGTCCTTGGCTCCGCTCCAAACCTTGTGTTTATTTGCTCCACTGATCTTCACTCGGGTTCTTTCATGTCTATGCAAATGTCCTGTAAGGCAGCAGCGCTTTAGGAGGAGAAGGTACCGCTCAAAACGACTGACTCTCTTCACGCTCGTTTGAAAGAGGAACCAAATCAAAGTGGATTTGTCAAACGGTGACTTATGCGGCTCCACAACAAAACATTTAAATGTGTTATTGATTCTGTGTACTTAATGAAAATAATTTGTTTCGACTGTTGTACTGCAATTTCTCTTCATATTGGTTTTTGCCTTTGTAGCAGCTGTAGACAGATTTATTATTAATACCTTCTGCAGCAGAACGACATGGTTAAAAATCATGTTTAGATTTGGAATTATTTGTTTTGATACAGCTCAATGGCGAGATATTTCTATCAAGAATGTGAACAAACCGCATAAGCAAACGGCCATTTTACTGTAGTTATGTGCAGTGCTTTGTATCTGACGATCCAATAAATCGGTACATCCCTACTGCACAGAACCGAATCTTTTTGGCACCATGACCGCAACAGAATCCCATCGTCTCCACCTCATCCAGCCATGCCCGCCTCCATTTATTTTTCACTCCGTTACCAATCGCAACTTGTGCTCCTTCTTCCATGAACAACGAATGCATGATTGTGATTGTGAGTACATGCTAGGCTAGCTTTGATAAATGAATATAAGACGCGCTAACACACTACACCTTTCTTCAGCGAGTTTCTTCCGTTCGCTCTCGTTGATTGGCTTTTAAATCACGCTGAGTCTTGCATGCGGATCAAGACAAACAAGACATTATCAAAAGCTCACCAAGACATGTTTGTCCCCGTTCCCAGTCGCAGCAAAGTCCGTTTTTACATTCCGTTAAATAAAAAAGCATTGCGTTTGGTAAACGTTAATTAATGATGTCCTACCTTTCCTCTGGTAACACGCCTAGCTTACCGGTCCGCTGCTGGCTGTTATTGCTCCGTTCAGGATTCAATTTTCCTTGTCCTCTTCTCCTTTTCAAAAGCTCCGTGCACTTTCCAGAAACTTTCACCTCCGTGTTACCGTCGCTAACTTGGCCGCGTCTTCATTTGCGGAGCGCTCATGTAGCTAGCCACGGCACGTTCATGGCCCACTCGTGATTATAATACTTTTTATTTCTATATACATATTAATACAATTGTATTCAAATTATTATTATATATCTATAGATATATATAACATATTCACACGTATATGTATCACTGTATATTTTGTATAATTAACCATTTCATTGTGAGTATTATTATATATATATATATATTTTTTTGAGGCCAATTTCATTTGGCGGAAATCCGTCGCCTATACGGAACTCTTTAATCCCTGAAATAGATCCATGATAAATTACATCACGGCCAGTCTATATAATATTAGGTCTTTCTTTACTTTTTTGTCTTATCAAAAGACATAAGAAGACATACTTAACTTTTTACAATCACAAAAGTAGTTATCTCTGAGGACTTAACAAAACCGTTGAATTCGCCAACACAGATCAGAGAATCAAACAGTTCAAACACAAGAAAATAAAACAAAAAACACATTGGTATTGGTCCATAAGGGGCCGCTCGAGGCTTTCAGGGTCAAACACAGAGGACATGGTGTCATACCGAGATCATTAATTGCTCCAGTGTTTTTTCTGTCAAACTAAACTCTCTCATTACAAGGGTCTCTCGTCACCGCTTTCACCCGCTCGAGTGACAAACCGTAGCGGCTGTGGTTGAAGCAATGGTCAAAACAAATTTCCCCGTGGACTCAATAAAGTGTACTTAACTTGCTCACAACATGTACATTCTTTATTGTTCTGCTACATTTGACATTATATACTTCAAGTCTGTAGAAAACACAATCAAAGTCTAACTCAAGACCTCTGCTCGGGTCGTCCACCTTCAATGTATTTGCTTTTATTACGTTATTCTCCTCCTCGCTGACCACACACCCGAGCAGCGTGTTGTGTGTAGTACCTGGGGACTTCATTAACGTCAAATGGCTGCAGTCGCTGGAGCACGTTTCTTGTAATAAGGCCTGTGTTCTTTGACATGTTTGGAATGATCCGCACACCGGCCTGCGACAGGAGGTCACGGGCTCAGGTCTCTTTCTTCTGCTGTTCCTCCCCCCTGCTGATTTCCTGCTTGCATTTGCTTCAGAGTCACGGGGGGAGGAGCAGGCAGCGTTTCATTCAGGGTGAGGCTGAGAGTGGATTTCGAGTGGATGTGTGACTGATGGGCACTTCACAAAAATCTTATTTTGAGTCGAAAAGCGAGTGCATCAGACATCAGAGAAACCTACTATGGAACTATGGAAACCTTTACATCTACTTTATATACTGTGCAACCATCACAAAAACTATAAACATTTAATTATCTAGTACAATTCTGCATGTTCTGCAAAACAATATCAATTGTTTTTGTGGTCCCATAAAATGACAATCTAGATTGTTTTTTTCTACAATGGAGTAAGCTGACTTCTGTTTATGAATTAACAACATGTAATTATCCATTACAATTCTACATGTACCACACTGATAATTAATTGTTTTCATGGTTCTATATAATGACAAACTGGAATTTTTTTAATTATTTTTTTTACAGTGGACGATGCTGACTTCTGTTTATGAATTAACGAATCTCAAAATCCTGGGATAACACTAAATCTGCCGAACAAAGGGAGAACTCAAATGTAGGACTGCAAAAATGGCCAGATTTGATAAACTAAACTCTAAAAATGACAATATCCAGAATATAAAAGAAATCCAAATGGGCCAATGGGCTGAGTGGGTAGCACTCTCGCCTCTCAGCAAGAAGGTCCTGGGTTCGAATCCCGGTCGGACCAGGGCCTTTCTGAGTGGAGTTTGCATGTTCTCCCCGTGTCTGCGTAGGTTTCCTCCGGGTACTCCAGTTTCCCCTACCGCTAAAAATATGTCCAATAGACATGTCTGGCATGCGCCTCCTGTACTGGCCCCGCTCCCATCTCTGTGTGGAGTGAGAGACAAATGCCCATAATTAACAATTGTAAACCGCTTTGAGACTCAGATCTGCAGTGAAAAGGCGGTATATAAATAAAGATTACTACCAAAAGGAAACGGGGGGATAATAATCATAAAAAAGTTGACACCATGAGAAAATCATTTGTGGAGAGACAGCTTTCTTATAACGTTTACACAGCTACATTTAGTTTAAGATATCCTTTATTCGTCCCACAGTGTTGGAATTTGAGAGTTGCATTCAGTGTTGCATCACCAGTCACAGAACAGCACAAGATAAATGAGCAATAAATGAAATCAAACCTAACTTTAGCACTATAAAGAAGCAAGTCTAAAATCTTCAAATTCATCAAAATAAAGTATACAATCTCTGACTTTAGCATAACAAAGAAGCAAGTACAAACAACTGCACATCTGTATTTCAGACTTATTAATAACTTTTAAACAAAACTGATTATTATATATTATTGTGTTTGTAAGAAAAGACTGACTTTGAGGCTCTGTTGGTCTAAGTCGACTTTGTATAATTTTTGCTTTCATCAATCGATACCAACCCACTTTTATATTTGGTATTTCACTCACGACTGTCGCTCCAGTGATTCTTCTGAAGCATCTACAAAGACACAGTGTTCAGAGAGGCAGGTGTGTGCTGGAGCGTTGAGGTGGCTGCGTGAGAGAGGTGCACTGTGGGTAGTGTGGTCTCAGGAGGCTGGATCAGAGCAGAGCCACGGGGGACCAGGTGTCTGTGAGAGCTGTCAGGGAAAACCAGCAGAGGAACCAGCAGGGCCACGCAGCGCATAGGAATCACATGTGGCTGGACCCTGCGAACAGACTCTGAGAGAGGCGCATGTTTGTCGAGCGGGTTGTGTTGCCATCGATCTTTCCCGCTACGCAACGTCGGCTAGAAGTAAACACGGATCCTCCTCAAACACTGCACCATGTGACCTGCACCATGTGACCTGTGGGTGGCAAGGTGGCCGCTCGGAACAGGCCTTTCTGAGTGGAGTTTGCATTTTCTCCCAGTGTTTGCGTAGCTTTACTCCAGTAACCCTAACCCTACCACTAAAAACATTTACAATGCGCCTCCTGTACTGGCCCCGCTCCCAAATGCCCACAATTCTAAACCGCTTTGTGACTCTGGTCTGTGAAAGGCGCTATATAACTAAATATTACTTACTTACTTATAGGGGTGGGAACCTCAGGGTACCTCGATACAATACGCGATAAAAAGCTTACAATAACAATTATATCACATTATGACAATTATCAATACATCGGTCAGAAATATACTGTCATAGAAATCTTTTAGTAAAGCAATCTGAATAAACACGAAATAGTTATAAGTGTAAGTTATTAACTAATTCTCACCTCTGGATTAAAAATACAGCACTATGGTCTGTTGGCAGCAGGGTCAGCTGATCGATGGAGATGTGTTTCTTTGGCAATATCTGGGTCATAGAACAATGTGTTCAGGTCAAAGCAGATTATCACGAGATGCATAATGTAGCCAAATATTAAGTACTGATACTAATTCATTTTTTATTGATACTTGGCAAAAGCATATCGATAATCGCTCGTGTGAGATATATCGTCACACTCCTACTTACTTACCATGTGACCTTCACGTTGTTGCGTTGGGTGGCAAAAGCACAATAACAGTTTAAGGTAAAGAAATACAAGTGGATTTTACTCCTTTCTGTCCAGTGGCAAGTTCAGACTATGACATGAAGAAGGTTCTGTAATACTCGGCCTCAGTCCTCGTTCTACAGCCTGAGTCCTGGATCTAGAGCCTGTCTGTCTTTGGGTTTTTGAGTTGTTCCTTTGCCGATGCAGGAGGGTCTAAGGACAGTGATGATCCGGGATATTTATGAACATTGGTCACCCCGCTCCTGACGAACCGATGACTCCTAAGTGTTTGTTATTATTGCATTTCCTGTCTTCAATCAGTCAATCGAGCAATCTGTCTTTATAACAGCAGGGTTACTCAAAGCACTCCATTTTGAGATCAATGAAGTCTTCTATCTTCACAGGAGGCATCACACAAGGCACAAATTATCACATAAAACAAACTCCAGAATCACCATTTAAAACACAATCAAAATCATTAAAATATTAAAATTAAATAATGAATACAAAAATTAAAAATAAGAATGCATTAAAAAAGAGTAGAGATAAAATTCTTCACTTCTTTGCAGAGGAAAAATTAACAGTCTTTAACCTGGATTTGAACATTGTTAGAGAAGAAGCCCGTCTCACATTCTCAAGAAGAATGTTTCTAGATTTGAGCTGCATAAATCTGAAGCGCTGCCTCCCCATGTTTGGTTCTGACCCTGGGCACCAGCAGGAGGCCTGTCCCTGTGCTTCTCTTCGCACTGTGTCTTTCTCTTTCTGTTGTTGAGGAATCGACAATGTTGTAAAGACCTCCCAGACGACTGCTGTTACGATATGGGGCTGTGCAAAAACAAATGAAATTGAATTGAGTTTGTGACCATGTTTTGGTCACAGCTTGCCTGTCATTGGCGAGTTCTTAATTTAGCTCCAGTGAAGTATAGAAGTCGCGGTGGCTACGCTAAATCGGGGAGCTGTCTGTCTGAGTTGTTTTAGGAGATTTGTAAAATAGGATTCTGGATTATATTCTGTATTTTGAGCATAAAAAAGCACATATTTGTCAAAACATGTCTGAAATGATCACATAAATACTTAACTGGTTTGAAGTGAAGTTTTCTAAGTTGGGAGTTTGTGAAACTTGTACAGTAGAATTGGGGCTATTTTACCACCTCATTTAAGCTAAAACCTATTTACATTAGCATTATTGTTGTCATTATATGGCATTTATCTACATTCAGGGCGACTAGTTCAAATGTGTGGACTCTAGACAAGAACTAGCATAAACATTTTTTGTCAATGTCTCGAAGTAAATGGTTAGAAATGTTATCTCGTCAAGTTTTTTTACCTTTTTTATTTAACCTTGTTTAATATTTATATTTTTCAACAACCCTTCTGGGAATATGTCATCTGAATTTGTCTTCTGAAACCAGAGTCTACTATACAAACAGATGTGCGGTGATGGCCTTAGAGCTGTATTTAGAGTGTATTGGTCTCCAGGAGGTGATGTTGTGGAGAAGTTTAAAGTGTGCTTAAGTTAAACATGCTTAAGTTAAACATTTCTCATGCTTTGAAGATCAGACAGATTAAGGCAAGGCAAGGCAAGGCAAGTTTATTTGTAAAGCACAATTCATACACAAGGCAACTCAAAGTGCTGAACAAGGCACAACTTCAAATCTACCAAGACTCTGCCGTCTGTCCAAACTCAAAGCTCAACACTGATCACAGATGCTAAATACAAGATAGAACCGAAATAGATTCTGTATTCATCCCACAAATTGCAGCCCGCATACAGGACAGTAAGTAAACAAGGGGCTCACAAGTAGCACAGAAAACATGTGCTCCATACAGAACACTGAAGAACTACTTTGATTTCACTACTTACTTTTCACAGACAAACGGGTTCTAGGTCAGCAGTTCTTGTTGTACAGTCTGACAGGAAGGAAAGACCCGCGAAACACTCCTTCACGCAGCGAGGGTGGATCAGTCTGTCGCTGAAGCAGACAGAGAGTCCTGCAGGGGGCGACATGGTGCAGCACAAACAGGACAATCTTGGAAGAAAAGTTGCAAAACACTTTATGTGTCCGAATGCCCAGTCAAAGACCTAAATCCGATTTGTCCCCATTAAATCTTACAACGGCAGAGTTATTTTTTAAAGACAAATTGGAAAAATGCCTTTAGTCTCTAGATGTGCAAAGCTTATAGAGTCATTCCCTAATAAAATGGCTAATGTGATTGCAGAAAAGTATTTAGTCTTGCTTGTCGTGATCTTTTAGTGAGAAATCCAACATCAAATCTTTGTGTTTTTAACTAGACAAGATGAGCAAACTCTGCAGAGCCACTTTCACAAGGCTGTGTAAAAATATTGTTAGCGGGAATTAGGAACTTGTATTTTTCAACTGGGAAATTACCCCAGTTCCCAGTTGCCCGGAGAATAAGTGGTCTGGCTCTGCATGGCCCCAAACATACGCGTAGCTTGTTGCTTCCAGAAGCCACACTCAGAGTAATGTGGTGCGTAGGTGTTTACATGCCGCTGTAAGTGTGAAGTGTGACAAAGATGCAACAGTTCAACTCTGGTGCAGCCACAGACACAGATGCAGAATGTGAACGCCTCATGGAGCAAAGAGGACGATAGAGCCCAGGAATGTACTTGTCATCGTCAGAGCGAGAAGCTGTAGTCTGGTGCCTTTGGTCGTATCCATCAGAATATACATCTCTCAAATGAGCTGTAATCAATCTAAAATCTCTAGTCATGAGGAAGAAGGAAGAGCATGGTTAAAACTTCCTGTCAATTTAGCATTCTGCGTCCCCTTTAAATAAGTGCAGACTTTGTGTTTCGCTGCTTGATTCAGTTGAAATGGATTGTGCAGTTCTTGTGGATATACAGCATGTCGTACAGTATGTGAAACAGGTGGAGCTCAGTGCATGTACATGAGGGGAGGGAGATGGGGGGAGAGAGTGGGGAGAGGGGACGTACGGCACATGTGACATTGGAATGATGTCACTCAGCCTTCTTCCTGTCTCCCGCTAATTAAATAAAGCCCTGCTCCGTATCGGGCTGTACGTCGCCATCTGACTTTATCTGATGCTAATGCCGTCAGAGCGGATCCCGGCGGACACAGGGTTAAACGCGAGGAGGAGACAGTGGCGCGGTACATTCTTGGCTTTTCTTTATTTGACAAATGGCTCTGTCAGTGGCGAGAAGGGCAGCAGGCCTCCATCCAGCCTCAAGGTGCCCTTCTACACCCGCACACTCACCCTCAAAAGCCTCTTGTCAGATGTATCTTAATTAATAAATATGCGTTGAATGCCTTTAGGGAGAACTGCTTATTACTTCTACTGTATCCACCGGAGCAGAGCAGGGCCGCAACCCTTCACAAAGGTGGCTCCGGCTGCTGACAGAACAGAATGATTTTTGCAAAGAGCGAGCGCAAATGAAGAGAGAGCATCCAGGGCCATAACAGCAGCAGTTAATCCAAAGCACGGGTCAAAGTCAGACTTTCAGTGTTTGCATTCTCCTCATTGTTGTCTCCAATCTACTCTAGTTTCTATAACAGGGATACACAATTACATGCAGGCGGAATACACAATGATCATTCTCACTCAGTCTTTTTGTCATGGTGTGGACCTTTTGTTGGATTTTTTCTAGGGCCAGGACTTTAACGCGTTAATTAAGAGCAGAAAAATTAGCGGGTTAAAAAAAATTACGCATTTTGTTTGTATGTATTTTTGCACCGCGGAAGGTTCCTCACAGGATGAGTTTCAGACGGACCGATTGTACTGGAGCACCAACTGGAGCTTCGTGACTTTTTCTGTTGAAAGTACATTATTACAACTTTAGCGGCGTCTAAATCCCAGTGAGTTAGAGACGGGAAAGAGCGCTGTGTGTGGAACGACGGACCCTGTGTGTGTGAGGAGGAGCAGCGACTCCTGTGTGAGCGGAGGAGGAGGAGGAGGAGGAGCGAGACACAGGTGTGTGAGCTGCTATTGCTGATGTTTAGTCCGAATGTATACATCAAAATATATATTATAAAAGCTTTAGCAAACAGCGCATGCCTAGCTTTAGTGCTCACTGCGAGTGCAGTCAAATTTGGGCATGAAAAGCGTATGTTGTGGTCAGAGAGTGTGGAGGCGATGACAGAAAGGTTATTGGATGGAAAGAAGTCCGTCTGATCATCCACAATGAACATGTGTTGCTTAAGCTTATGTATTCAGTCATTATTCAGTGGTAAA